CTCATGGAATCAAATATCTCCATATCTTATTTTCTGCATTTCTCACATATGACTTAAACATGTATATGGTTAAATTCAAATTAGTAAATTTGCATAAAAAAGATTATTCTTTACTCTTAACCTTTAAAAGTAGCAACATAACATTTTATTTAAGGTTATTTTAATACTAAAGATCTCAGATTCAGCCAAAACCAGTTTGGCTCAATAGATAAGAGCGTCGGCTTGGGGACTGAAAGGTCCCGGGTTCAATTCTGGGCATGCACATGGTTGCGGGCATATCCCCAGTAGGGGGTGTGCAAGAGGCAGCTGATCAATGACTCTCTCTCATCGATGTTTCTAACTCTTTATCTCTCTCCCTTCCTCTCTGTACAAAATCAATAAAATATATATTTTTTAAAAATATCTCAGATTCAGTCAATTCTATTTTTGACCACAAAGTGAAGCCCTTATATTTTGAAGATTTCTAAGTACCAATTCTTGTCTGATGCCCTTAACTTCTGCCTTGCTGACTGCACTACAACTTATTATGCCTGCTAATCATATAACAGGGAAATGAATAAAGGACGCCAGAAAGATTGCTTAATGACTTGAGAAATCTATACAGAGGTGTAGGCACATTCTAATTAAATTCTCCTGATGTTAAAATTGCAGGAAATGATAGGCTGCCATAGTGGAGACAGTGTAAGTGAAAAAAGGCAAGGAAGAGAGAACATTACCTGAACATATTGTTTAGATAAATTAAAATAGTCTCACCCAAAAAAGTCTGGCTACATCTTAAAGCCTTAAACCAAATCATACTGTTTATTTCACAACTTGGGTTAGTAAGAACATGATTATCATTTAGGAAAATGGAATTCTTTTCTGCGAAATTGTTCCCTAACTCAGTTTTCATCACCACCACCTTCATAGTCATCTTGTCTAGAAGTATACAAATTATCTCCAGCCAATCTTGCTCGATATGACTCACAGAATTAAAACTCAGAAAAATGGATGACATCAGTAGGAAGATGAGGCTACATATTAAATGACTCAAACCAAGGTCTTCCGGCTGCTAAGCTCATATTCTTCCCACTACGCTGTTCTAACTCTTTCTCAATAACTTAAATCTAAAGTAAGCCCTTTAGAGGCTGTCAAGATCCACTATTTCATTAGATCTCAGTAATAATCCTGAGAAGTATGGGCAGACATAATCTCTCTAATATACACAACACTTGGTACCCAGGGATAAAATGATTTGTCCAAAGAGGTTGGATCTAATACGTGGCAATACCCTTAAGACATAAGTAACTACAAAAAAAAAATACTGTGTGCTACTGAAGGATGTTACCTTTAAAATAATCATATCTTCAAAGGAGTAGAGTGTATCTGTTACATTTGTATTCTAGGGATGGTAAGTACTGGGTATCTGTACTGCCTCCTTCTCATCATAATCCTTCACACACTCTTTCCTGCTGGGTCTGAACCCAGCCTCAGAATCTTCTGGAAAATACAGCTCCAGGCAGCCCATATCAACTGACTGGCAAGATAAGCCACCCAGATAAAACCTGCATTCCTACCCTGACGCTCTTCATTTAGGTCCCACATTGTATTACATTGTTTTTTTATATCCTTTCCTTGCTTTTAATTTGATAATTGCCATTAATGGTTCTCACATTGTTTCACATGTGTATATATTGTATTCTCCCAGCACCAGGACTCTGCCTTTTATTTATCTCAGAACATCAACTCAAGGTGTTCTGAGTGACTGAGACAAATGTACGGTATTTATGGAAACAACTCAAGATTAAAAAACTCAGACCTGAAACAAAAAGTTGCCGTTGTTTCTGATTATGGCTTAGACCAGGGGTTAGTAAACGTTTCTGAAAGGGGTCACGTAATAAATATGAGCTTTGTGGGTCAGATGGTCTCTGACACACCACACAGCTCTGCACTGCAGTGTAAGGCACCCAAAGACAATCTGTAGATAAATGTATCAATATTCCAACAAAACTTCACTTGCGGACACTAAGGTCTGAATGTCCATACCATTTTCCCATATCACAAAAAAAGGATTCTTCTCTTGCTCCCAACCCTCACCTCCACCCATCACTCCCCACTCCCAATTAAAAATTAGAAAGCCATTCTTAGCTTGCAGGCCACAGAAAAGCAGGAGGCAGGCTGGATTCGGCCCACAGGCCGCAGCTCATGGGCCCTGGGCCTGACTCTGAGAAGTTCAAAGTGAGAATTTCTGGTGGTCTACAAGATCCAGCCAATAAGCCCAACTCCCTGTGTGTGACTGTGAGGCCGGATTTTCTTCTTGTCATCAATGACAAGAGAGTGAACACAGAAGCAAGTCCGAGGGTCCAGCTGCCTTCTATTAAGCCAGAAATTGAAGAGATTTGCCAAAATGTAAAACATCACTCTTCTCACTAATTATTTATGGTATTATTATGTGCATTATTATATTTCAGACACTCATAATGCTGTTTATGTTAACATGTAATGGGTTTATTACTGATTTTTAAATGGATTATTAGATTTTAAATACCTCAGTTTTGATTTCTAACATGAGGAATATCAGTAGCTATAACCCATGTGAACCAAAGCTCTCTGGGACCCTCAGTAATTTTAAGAATGTAAAGGGATCTTGAGAGCAGACAGTTTGAGAACTAACTGCTGACTACAGCTGGTTGACTCATTCCAGAGGCACTTCCACCCACCAGACAGACCACCTGATTTCAGTCCCCATCCCGACTTCTCCCCACCTTAGAGCTGCCTGGCATTTCTTTGATTAGATTCTGATTTGGTAAAAATTAATCCTACGCAGTTTACATTCTTGGATAATAAAGTCGGTGAAGACAAGGTGGTACCTTCATGAAAGGACCCTTCCGAAACGTGCAGCCCACAAACACACTTCAGCCTTTACTTCGCCAAACAGGCAACGAGATGGAACGATTCCTCCTCGGCTTATATTTTTAAATCTTAACAAAAAGTATTGTGATTCCTTGCCTCCATGAGAACATAGCTCAAAACAAATAGATTTCACTGGCTCCTTTATAAGACAGAGACCCTTTGACTTGGCCCCACAACAACTGTGGGAGCCCTCAGGGCAGCTTGAAATCTAAAGAAAGAAAATTCATCAGACCTGATGCCAGTTTGTGGCAGTGCCAATGATAATGCACTGTCGATTGTATTTGCAACATCTTTAAGAGAAGATTAACATTTGGTTTGTTCTGTTGTTTGAGATTTAAATTTTTTAGAAGAATATTTTAGGAGAAATAAGAGGGAAAGTAGTTTTATTTCCAGTGTTACCATAGAAGGAACCTTATATAAGGAAGCATTTCTTTCTATATAAATTAATTTGTCATAAGGTTGAGCCGTCTATCCAAATGGTGTGTACTGCTGGCCTGGGGAATCCTGTCTGCCCCTCAACTCCCAACCCTAATTTTACAGAGATTTAAACAAAACTATGATTTCCAACATAAATCATTTTGTTGAATTATACAATAGCTAGAAAGTGTTTTCCCACAAGTATATGACTCTAAAAATCTCTTAAGGAATAATAACTTTGTAAATACCGAAAAAAAAAAAAAAACCTTATATTTTAGGATATTTCTCTTCAACCTGCATTATAAAATACAAAAAGAAAAAAGAAACACACACACACACCAGGAATTATAATCAGATACTAAATCTGTCATAATTTGTGATATTGGCTCCAACTAGTAAAATAAAACACGTTTGGCTATTTTGAATAACACCAAAACTGAAATTCACTAGCATCTTTAAGATCAGAAAGCCACTAGCAAATTATTACCTGTTTAGGGGATTACTACTCATCTGGGCAAGAGTGCAAATTATATTAGAAAGATTTTGGTAGCTGTGATGTGCAATGAAGAACAGAAAATAGCCTTAAAATGTGGGGAAATGCTTACTGTATAAATCTACAGTAAAAGCAAAAGTCTCACCATGATTGCAAAACATTCAAAATTGTGAAACTTAATCTGTAAAATAGACAAAAGTAAACCAGCTTCCTCAGTTAGTTTTGAGATCTCAGCATCAACTTAAAGAAATTGCTTATATTTAAAAGAAAGCCTATTTCAAAATACAAATCCCTATACTTAGTACAAATAAAGTCATAAATTGGTATGTCATATCATACAGCATTCCTCTTGTTTTAAGTGTATGCAAATGAAGTTTTTAAAAAAGTGACTTGCTCCACTCTTCAATTCTTTAAGCAATAAAAGTGCCTCATGCCAAAAATAATAAAAGATAACTGATACTAAGGTAAAAATAGTCAAATTACATAATGTCGGTATGTGAATTTCATGAGGAAAAAAGAAAACATAGATATGTATACTTCACTGAGTAGAAAAGATATATTGCTTCTGGCAAATACTGACTACAAAACTTTTCCTATATGATAAATCATTTTTCCCATTCTCATTTTAAAATCAAAATTATGTTAATTAAAAAACCTAAGTATAATAAAGTTGATTAGAAGGTAATAAATTTTAAAATCATATGGGATTTATACTACCACAAAGGTAGAAGGGATCAAGAGAATTTTGGTCCATATATGAGAAGAAAAAATAACAGTCTAAATAAATATTATTTCTACTATTCCAAAGCAACAAAACTAGAATCAAGTATACTTATTTTAAAGCTTGGCACAGCAGTTTAAAATTTGAAAAACACCTTGTTATTTTAATAAAATAATTTTCAGTATTATTTCCCCCCCTATTCCCCTCCCCAGCACGGGGACAACACAGTGTAAGTTTCTGTAGCTGGCGGGGAATTTTCTTAGCACTTTGTGGAAACTGTTGGCTTTCAGAAACAGGCAGGCTGATTTGAACCAAAAGTTAGACAAACATAGAATTGCAACAACAATAAAAAGCCATTTAGGAAGAGGATCAAGCCAAGCAGATAAGCAAACTTCATAAAATCAGCTTTCTGGGACTGTCCATCAATTCAGTTCCCTAATTTCAAAAAGCCAAGCAAAGCAGAGCATGCTGACTTACATTGCTTCTTCAGTTCTCTCAGCTGTTGCTTAAACTGCACATATTTTTCATTGTTTTGAAAGTCTGCATCAGAATTCTTATTCTGTAAAGCCAAAAATTTCTTCTCCACCAATAACTTTAGATCTGGTATGTTTTCTGGACGCTCTTCTTTTACCTGACAAAGACAATAAAACTATCTTAGTTAAATGTTATCAACAACACAGTTTTGTAACATTATTTTTACTTCATCTCATTCAAATGAAAATATAATGAGGAAGAAAACAGAATCCCCTCACTAGAGAACCAATCTGTTCCAAGGCAGATTGCTGGGGAAAACGGGAGGGAATCATTCATCCCACCTACTCTCCGCTTTCTTCTTCTTTATTTTGCTAAATTTATTGGGGTGACGTTAATGTTAATTAGTTAAAAAGATCATGTATGTTTCGAGTGTATAATTCTGTAATATTTCACCCATAGTCTCCTTCCATCACCCACTTTGCCCTTTCAACTTCTCCCCTGGATAAGCACTTTACTGTTACCTGTATCAATGTGGTTGTTTTGTTTTGTTTTGTTTGTTCACTTGTTGCTTTCTGTTTTGTTTTTGTATTTTGTTAATCTTCACAATAGGATATTTTTCCATTGCTTTTAGAGAGAATGAAAGGGAGGGGGAGAGAAGAGAAACACTGATGTGAGAGAGACACACTGATTGGTTGCCTCCGACAGGAGCCCAAACTAGGGCTGGGGATGAAGCCTGCACCCGAGGTACGTGCCCTTAACCACAACTGAAACTGGTACCCTTCAGGCCCCAGGATGACACTATCCAATGAGCAACACCAGCTAGGGTTGTTGCTTTGTTTTATATTTCACATAAGTGAAGTCATGTGGTTCTTGACCTTTTCTGACTTATTTTACTTAGCATGATACCCTCAAGATCCATCCATGTTGTCACAAATGGCAGTATTTCATCTTTTCTTATGGCTGAGCGGTACTCCATTGTGCCCTAACTTACCGTCTCCCGACAACTACTGAAGAAAATTGGCACATAGCCCAACGCTGTGAGCTCCGCTGCACCAGGGCCTGCCACCACGTCTTCCTTTAACCCAGGTCTGCTCGGCGCCCTCCCCTGCTTCCCTGCAGCTACTCCCCTCTCCGTTCTCAGCACTCCTCCTCTCTGCCTCTGCATCAGCAGGTCAGAGTGGCTCCAACCTCACAAAAGAAGTTGAGACTTTAACCTTGAATTTCACCATCTGCTGCCACAACAAGGAATAAATGTCTCCTTTCTGTTCAAAGCTAAATTCTCAATCTATGTTCTTGGTTTTCCTCCCAATATTTATTATAAAAATTTCAAACATGTGAAAACTTGAAAGAATTGTATTTAACCATTCATCTACTTTCTGGATGCCACAATTAATGTTTTGCTATGAGTGCTTTATCACACATCTATTTATCTGTGTCCCTCTATCCTCAACCTTGTTTTCAAATTCATTCTAAATTCCATCTTCTTTATCTCCTTCAGAAGAAACTTTCCTCTGTAAGTGCCCAAAGCCTTTACATTGGTTGTTTACACCCATCTTTAAAGCAAACAACCTCTCTAGTCCCTGTCCACTCCCTTGCTATTTTTCTCTCCAGGTCCAGCTCCTTGAAAAAAAATCATCTGTACCCATTGTCTCTGCTTCCTTGCCCTCACACATGACCCATCCCCATTGCTGCTGGCACCCACTTCTCTCGGTGGCTCTTCTTCAGCCCTTCATAATGGGCCCCTGGAATCACTGGCTGTTTCCTGATGCTCCTGCCACCAAGTAAAATTCACCAAATTCTCCCACGTGCCCTGATATGCTCTGGACAGAGTTCTTCCCCAGCCCCTGTAATATTCAATTGCACTTATTTTTACATGTTTCTCTTCCCTAATAACATGTAAACTCTTTGAAAGATGTCTCATTTATCACTGGGTTCCCAGGGCCTAGCAAACATCTGATTCACTCCAAATAGATTTACCCATTAAAACCCACATTTTATCAACTGTTAATAATTATTACTAGAGTATAAAACATACTTTCTGAGCTGGAAGATAACTTGGAGATCATCTAACCTGGATATCTACCTTCTTCAATTTCATAAGTAAATAAAGTGATACAGAAAGAAGTTAAATGATTTCTCTACTATCATCCAGTCAGTTAGAAGCAATGTTAAGACTATAAGATAGATACAAAAAAATTCTTGGTATTGATATAATCTTGCTTAATCGCTATGCATTTTATTTTATTTTTTAATATTTTATTGATTTTTTACAGAGAGGAAGAAAGAGGAATAGAGAGTCAGAAACATTGATGAGAGAGAAACATCGATCAGTTGCCTCTTGCACACCCCCTACTGGGGATGTGCCCACAACCAAGGTACATGCCATTGACCGGAATCGAACCTGGGACCCTTCAGTCAGCAGGCCGATGCTCTATCCAATGAGCCAAACCAGTTAGTGTTGCTATGCATTTTAATTAGCTAAATCAAAAATGAAAATTAAGTATAAAATCAAAATGCCTAAATTTATATTTATAGTACAGGGTGAAGGAATTGATTGTGTTCTCATTGCACTGATGAAACTCAACCAATGCTGGACCCACCAGCAAAGAGAGCTGTGGAAACAAAGAGAGGCTTTAATGACAAGTCTTATATGTAATTTAAAAATTTAAATAAGCCGAACATTCCACCCCAAAGCAACAGAATATACATTCTTCTCAAATGCACATGGGACATTCTCAAAGATAGACCACATTTTGGGACATAGGCAAAGTCTCTTCAAATTCAAAAAGATAGAAATCATATCAAGCATCTTCTCAGACCATAATGGCATAAAACTGGAAATTAACTACAATAAAAATAATCCAAAGAAATCATACACATGGAGACTAAACAGCATGCTATTAAACAAGGACTGGGTTACCAGAGAAATCAAGGAAGAAATTAAAAACATCCTGGAAACAAATGACAATGAAAACACAACAATCCAAAATCTATGGGACACAGCAAAAGCAGTTTTGAGAGGGAAGTTCATATCCTTACAAGCCTATTGCAAAAAACTAGAAAAAAGGGTAACAAATGATCTAACTCTACAACTCAAAGAGTTAGAAAAAGAGCAACAAGAAAAGCCCAGTGTAAGCAGAAGGAAGGAAATAACAAAAATCAGAGCACAGATAAACGACATAGAGACCAAAGAAACAATACATAAGATCAAGAAAACCAAGAGCTGGTTCTTTGAAAGGATAAACAAGATAGATGGACCTCTAGCTAAGCTAACCAAGAAACAAAGAGAGAGGACCCAAATAAACAAAATCAGAAATGAAAGAGGTGAAATAACAACAGACCCCACCGAAATACAACGGATTGTTACAAAATACTATGAACAACTCTACTCCAACAAACTGAACAACCTGGAGGAAATGGACATATTCCTAGAAAAATACAAACTTCCAAAACTCAATCAGGAAGAATCTAAAAATCTCAATAAACCAGTGACTTGGGAAGAAATTGAAACAGTCATCAAAAAGCTTCCAGCAAACAAAAGCCCAGGGCCAGATGGCTTCACAGGAGAGTTTTACCAAACATTCAAGGAAGAACTAAAACCTATCCTCCTCAGACTATTCCAAAAAATCCAAGAGGGAGGAACACTTCCAAACTCCTTCTATGAAGCCAGCATCACCCTAATACCAAAGCCAGATAAAGACAACTCAATGAAAGAGAATTACAGGCCAATATCCCTCATGAACATAGATGCCAAAATCCTCAACAAAATTCTAGCAAATCGACTCTAGAAGAACATCACAAAGATCATACACCACAATCAAGTAGGATTTATTCCAGGAATGCAAGGATGGTACAATATCCGCAAATCAATAAACGTGATACATCACATAAACAAATTGAAAGATAAAAATCATATAGTCATATCAATTAATGCAGAAAAAGCATTCGATAAAATCCAACACCCTTTTCTGATAAAAACTCTTAACAAGGTGGGAGTACAAGGATCATACCTCAACATAATAAAAGCTATACAGAATAAACCCACAGCCAACATTATACTCAATGGGCAAAAACTAAAACCATTCCCTCTAAGAACAGGAACAAGACAGGGATGCCCACTCTCGCCACTCCTGTTTGACATAGTACTGGAAGTACTAGCCATTGCAATTAGACAAGAGGAGGAAATAAAAGGCATCCAAATTGGAAAAGAAGAAGTAAAGTTATCCTTATTTGCAGATGACATGATATTGTACATAAAAAACCCAAAAGACTACATTAAAAAACTAACTGACTTAATAAATGAATTTGGCAATGTAGCAGGATACAAAATTAATGCCAAGAAATCCATGGCTTTTCTATACACCAACAGAGAAACTGCAGAAACAGAGACTAAAAAAGCAATTCCATTTACCATCGCACCAAAAAAATTAAGATACCTAGGAATAAATTTAACTAAGGAAGTAAAGGACCTATATGCGGAAAACTACACGACACTGAAAAAAGAGATAGAGGAAGATGTAAGGAGATGGAAGAACATACCATGTTCATGGATTGGTAGGATCAACATCATCAAAATGTCCATACTTCCTAAAGCAATCTATAGGTTCAATGCACTCCCCATTAAAATACCAATGACATATTTCACCGACCTAGAAAGAACTCTCCAAAAGTTCATTTGGAACAATAAAAGACCCTGAATAGCCACAGCAATCCTGAGAAAGAAGAGTAAAGTAGGAGGGATCTCAATACCAGACTTCAAACTATATTACAAAGCCACTGTTCTTAAAACAGCCTGGTACTGGCACAAGAACAGACATATAGATCAATGGAATCGAATAGAGAACCCAGATATCAACCCAAATCACTATGCTCAATTAATATTTGACAAAGGAGGCACGAATATACAATGGAGTCAAGATAGTTTCTTCAATAAATGGTGTTGGGAAAATTGGACAGACACATGCAAAAGAATGAAACTAGATCACCAACTTACACCATTCACAAAAATAAACTCAAAATGGATACAGGACTTAAACATCAGATGGGAAACCATAAAAATACTAGAAGCATCCACAGGCAGCAAAATCTCAGACGTATGCCAAAAGAACTTCTTCACTAATACTACCCCTAGGGCAATGGAAGCTAGAGAAAATAAAC